GGTCTGTCGGTCTTGATTTTAGTTTCAGTCTTTCTTAGGCTTCCAGACTCTGACAAATAGATGAAAGAAAGGAGCTTAAATCAACAGAAAAAATAAAATTAATAATAATACATTCTAAAAAAAAAGCAGCTTTAGGAAGTAATATAGCTCAAAATCAATAAATTAAAATGAAAAATGAGAAAAATAATTTACTAAATATAGTATAAAAATGCCAGCTAACATTAGTGGGCAGTGCATACCTACCACATATGTTAACAGTCATATGGTTTGAGAAACAGACCAAAGAGCTTCACCAGCTGCTCATGCAAACCTAAAAGTATCTGAACACAAACAGACATTAGACTGAATTACATGAATCTGAGACTTCACAGAAATATCTTCTCTGTGTGATAACTGACCGCTGAGGCTGCGTTAAGCCGTTTACTAGTGAAGAAATCCTGAAGCCTGCTCGCTCATCGCTGATTTCATAATCTCTCTGACCAGATCCTCTTCAGCCTCTTTGTCTTGTCAAGTCAGGTGACCGATGAGATAAGCTCTTTAACTCATCAGAACATCGTGACCTTTTTTACCTGGGTGCTCACCAGCCAATCAGTGCTCAGTCTGCTCTGCAGAGACCCCCTAAAAGACCCACAGTGAATGGATGGAACACACACACACACACACACACACACACACACACACACACACACACAAACTTGCAGAGAATGAAAGTTCAATAAAACAGAATTATTTTGATTTTTCTATCTGATGCAGCTGCATGAAAGCAAAGTGGTCACACTGCTGCCTCACAGCATGAAGGTTCTGGGTTTGATTCCAGGATCTTTTTGTGTTTGCATGCTCTCTCTAAGTACTCTGGCTTCCTCCCACAGTCCATAGACGTGCACGTGAGGCCAACTGGAGATTATAAATTGGCTGTAGGAGGGAATGTGAGCGTGAATGTTTGGATGGAAGGTTGTTGAAGCAGTGGAGACTTTAAAAACTCAAACAATGGCTTCTTGAAATGAAAGGAAGACGTTGAACAACTTAATCGAGTAGCACACAAGTTGGTTTTTTTGTATATTTTCATGACAGAGCAAGTGTTGATGTCACAGTTAAGAAGCTACAGAGTAGTGACATCATCAGGGTTGTGGGCCGGACTGACTTAGACACAAACTAAATAGAATCAACACACACTCTTTATTGTATATATGCAGCTTTTCCCACATTAAATGTACTCTGCAGGCCGCACAGGTACATTTTAGGGTTTACTATTGGACGATCCCAAATCTCTTATTCTGAAAATTCAGCCATTGCAAACCAGTTTGCCGTTTAAACATCACTGTTTGACAGACTGACTGCAGCTGAGGATGGAAGTCTTTGTTCTGCAGCAGACGTGCTTCAGTCAAACCAGACGCTGCAGCAGGTGGAGAAACGTGCAGCTCATCGAGACTGCAGGACAAAGACCAGCAGTGCAGACTGTGGGCACAAACAGAATAACTGATTCTTGTAGGTTTTTCAGTTCTACTTTTAGAACATCGGTGGTCTGCAGGCTAAATTGTGCCCATCTGCGGTTTCGATTGAACCCCCCCTCGCCTTTGTTTCAACCATCAGTAACTTTGCGTAGGTGAGTGAAATGGTTTCAGTGTTCAAACAATAACTGCAAGAGGCAAAGAAAGATTAGAAACTCTCTGAATTTACTTTTGAAATTCGAGTGCAGAGGTTACAAAAGTTTTATTTCCTGGTTTTGTTTTTCTTATTATTTTTACCTGCACTCCCGACTCTGATAAGATGTTTGACATGACCGTCACAAACATGTTGCTCAAGTTTGCAAATCAGAATCAGAATCTTTATTGTCATTGTCACGAAATTAAAAATGGTCCCCGACCATTGCATCATCCCTAACAATATCAAAATATAAATAAAACAATAAAATTCAATAATAAAATAAATAGAATACTTAAAGTGCTAATAAGAGGTATCAACAAACATTCACATACATGCATCAGTCAGCGCATAGAAGAGTGGCGTGATTGGCATTTTTTT